CAAATAATTCGTATTTTCAATATCGATGTTGATTTAAATTGATAAATAATTCGTGTTTTCAATATCGAAGACTTTGGATGATATTGAGTTAGAGACCTAGCTACTTTAATTTCATGTGTTAAGAATTGAAGTGCGCACAATGTCATCTCGGGATCCGCTACTACTGCAGGTATACACAATGTTTCTGTCGGATCATCTATTTACCGTAACGTCGAATTTTCAACTTGATAGTGACATTTAAATGTTGTACAGATCATATTTTGTGGTCTTAAATCACTAAAACCCGTACATGACGTAAAAATATAAACATATCCATTACTATCAACAAAGATGTTCATCCAATTGAAAAAGTACTGCATGTATCAAGTTATTGGCCTGACCAATAACAATTTGTAACATTACAATAGTTCTTTAAACTGGGATTGTTTATTCGTGGTTATAAAGATATGGATCCTGTAAATAGTATGTTATGCGAAAGCCTCATAACCACACTACATTTACCCTCAGTAGTAAATATCCAGTCTAACAAGCTGTTACCGTGCAAAATACGCCCACATTTTGGAAGAGATGGACAGAGAACAAGCGATTCATGTACAATAAGGGGACATAACCCAGGGGGTTACGGTCAGATATGCGTCCATATCAAAAGGGACTGAGATATAAACATTTTCTAAGTACAATCAGGGGTTATAATCCATGAAGTTACATGGCAATATCGACAGGAACCTAGATCTTTCGGAGATTCGAAAACTGTGACCTGTGGTGTGTCCACAAACAAATTGTGGACGGACAGGGGCGACGACAATATACGTCCACATGACATGTGGGCGTATAAAAATCATTGTTCCTTTAAGATGTCTATTGCTAATAGTTTCTGAGAATATAACGCCATTACAAACTAACAATAACATGTTTCTGGCATATTATGGCGTGAAAGAGTCTATATTTAAACACCATTGTTCCTGTTATTCTCTCAGAGGTAGCGTGTATCGTGTGTCTAGAAATGTGCTATTGAAGTATACCTTCAAGGATTTCCCGTCAAAGGTATTTTGTCAAATCTAAGCCAAACACTGATGATGTGTTGATGAGACTTGATCGGGCTTCCTTTTATATATTCATTGTATGTCATTGTCAAGACAGGGGTTCGCTAAATCTGACAATTGTGTTAAGAAACTATTTCTTGTAAACCAAACATGTTGCTGGATAACAACAGTGCTACTGTTTATGTATTGTCTTTCAAGCCTATTACATATCGGCGGTTTCGTCCAAAAGGTTTTAGGTCTACAACACAATGTCATGTTTACCCCTAGATCAATTTGGAAAGGCAAGTCTTAAGTTTGTAATCTGTGCATATGCCTGGGAGCGCACCCCTAACCCTCCCAAACTTAATAAGAGTTAAAATTCAATGTCCATCCACAATTTTCTTGCAAACTTGTCATACTTAACACTAAGAAACAGAAAGCTTGGCTTAAGAGCATAAAATCTTGTTCTAAAGCTACTTAAGAGCTTAATTATCACTAATTAGTGACCGTAATTCAGATTTAAAGTCCAGAACTGAAACAAAGCCCAAAAGTCAGCTAACCAAGTCAGGAAACCAAAATATCACTTAAGAGCGACAAAAGTTAAACAAACTTTGTTTAAGACTGGTTCAAAGGCAGGCCCGTAGCTCCCATTAGGGGAATTTGCCCATTGGGGAAAAATCGGCGCCACATAAAGTCGAGTGACATTGGTTCGGCGCCCACCCAATGTCACTCGGTTTTATGGGCGTCTCGCCAATTATGTTATATATGAGGCGCCCCCCCCCCAACCAAATGGTGAGGAGTCTAATAAGGAATCACATGATTAACGCCATAACTGGATTTATGAGGCGCCCGAAACGGCATATTCTGTGGGGTGCTTTATCTCTGAGGGGCGCCCGGAATGACATGATTGGTGCTGCGCCTTATAATGACAACATATGATTGCCGGGCCGCACATAATGCATAATGTCGAGTAAGATTGGTTGAGCGCCCACGACTTGATTAATGGGGTGCCCAAAACGGCATGATTGGTGATATGCCTCATCCCTCACCCATAGTATAATTAGCGGGGCGCCCATAATGCCGAATGAGAATGGTTAGGCGCCCACGAATGAAATGGGAGCCCAAAACGGCGTGATTGGAGCCTCTTGAAGGGCTTGTATTATATTCGTCCGTTATACAGCGCAGCCCTGCATGATCACGGTTAGACGATTCATTTTATCTTGCGGTTATTGACTTGACGTCGCTTCGTATTGCCCAGCTAGTATCATAGGTCAGCAGGGGATAATTAATGACATCTGTTAAAAGGTTGCCATTCGAATTATAAATGAAAAATTAATGATACTACATGGTCGATGCTGGTGAACCTCACCAGTTTTTAATATTTCACTGGCATCCTTCGTGTTTTGCGTCAATATACGTCCACATGAAAATGTGGGCGTATAAAAATGCTGTGATAAATCTAATGTGTATGTTTTTAGCTACTTTGCTTATTAGTGCCTGTAACGTCTCAAAAGTGTAGCACACAGCCCGCTGCATGTGTTCTGGACACGCACGGGTCATAGGGTTTAGTAGCTTGCAGACCGGCTGCAAGAAACCGAGTGAAAGGTTTGTACATAGTACTTGTCACAGGTCTGTACAGCTTGTCTGCGATCTTCTACGTTGCCGTGTACACCCAAGTGACGCGACCCCTCTGCCTTGTTGTCGTTCAACTTAAGCATGTTTGATGTCATCCGCGACTTGGCTTGTTTGGTGCATAGTGAGGTCCTTTGGAAGAAATCAGAGTAATGAAATCGCGGAAATGCGTCAATAACCCGAGTGTCATCATCATACTAGTGATGTAAAAGGTCATGTTAATCGATTGGCTGGTATAAAGAACAAAATGTACCGGGCATAATACATATCCTTGTGGTAATCCACAGATTAGGAATGTTCGCTCTGGTAGTTCTCTACCAATTAGAACAGCCTGGTTTAGTGGATCCATATATCAATATTCTTTATATGCAAAGATATCGGCCATGAACTCCCCCAAAGGCTACAATTCACAGGGTTCCCGCGGTCCTTGAAAATCCTTGAATATCCTTAAATTTAAAATTTCATTTTCAAGGTCTTGAATTTCGCGGAAATAGGAAAATTCCTTGAATTTCAGTTGAGATCCTTAATTTTGTTTAAAATTGGTAATAATAGTAAGTTGATATGAAAATCCCGTTTAGATTAGAAGTTATGCTAGTTATACAAAACAATAACTCTGACGTATACCTGTCAATCAACTGATCTAAATAAACAGTTGTGTTTTGTCAACAAGATAAGCCAATGACATTTACCGTTAGGCAACCAAATACTCTCACGTGACCAAAAGAAAGAGGATGCTAAGTCAACAGTAGATTCAAAACGAAAATATATTGGAGATGAACTTACTGACTGTAAAAAGAAAAAGAAATGCCTCGAAAATGACATTATTACGCTGGAAGCTTCGGCGGACGAGAAGGCAGATAATGCGGAAAAAAGCCGTGACATCAAGAAACTTTTAATTGAGTCGAACGCCCTTCGCAGGGCAGCAAGAGCCAAAAAGACCGAAATTACGGAAATAGACGAACAAATAGCTAAACTTGAAAAACAATAATAAACGTATTAATAATCGGCAAATTAACGTCAATAAACTGTTCTACTTTTTATTCGTACTTTAGTTTAATCAGGGAATTTTCCGGTGTGCCGAAAGTCGATCTGTTATATTAAAAAAACAGTTTATGTCTTCAATTCCATTTAAATAGGAGATTATAACGATAGTTGGTAATGTTTTGGTTATTTTTAAGATGAAAAATTGTAACTTTAGGCTAAAAAATGTCCTTGAAAATCCTTGAATTTGACGTATATTTATCCTTGAAAAAATGTTTGACGAAGCCGCGGGAACCCTGAATTCATAACGCTGCTGCATGGTGAGTATGTGTATGTTTCCTGGCAACGATATGTTTTACACGCAACATCCGTGTTTCTAGCAAACAGCTATGTGTGGGATGAGATTCTTTATGTGCAGGAAGGCTACTGTGGCCAGGATGGTGAACTCGCAACTAGTCAAAGGACCGACAAGGAAAGTGACTAGAGTCGTTTGGTCTGAACGGAAACTCAAATTGGTAGTGTACAGCAAATATTCCCCGAAAGTTATACATGCCGCTCTACGCGGGCAAAAGTTTCGCGTAACCATTTCTTTTCTTATGTGCCACGTTGTCATTGTCGATAACGAAGAAGGTCTGTAAAACGTGAGATTATTTTAAAACTCCAAAATCCCATGACAATTTGACAACTAGGCGTTCAAATTGTTCAGACTTTGATTAAAGATGTCACGGTTAAACAGCAGTTCTTTTTATCTATATCTACACCATGTGAAGACATTCCTTCGTTGTGAGGGTATTAATATTGCTAGGTAAGGTATTTTGAAATAACACGCAATCCCTCGACAATTGGACAACAAGACTTTTCAAATAAAGACTAAGATTAAAGATGCCACAGTTATCCATCACTTCTACTTAACGCTATTACGATATTTCTTCAATACCTTGATTGGATTAGAACAGCTAATTACTCGGTATCTTGGAAATATTCCAAATGCGTGTTTTGACAAATCTGAGAATTTAAAACATGACTTGAGAGACCCTAACTAAACTAATGTTTATGATGCAATTTCACATATTCATATATGCAAATATTGAACATGCGTCGGTGCCACACCGCTGACCGGGACTTAAGTTGCAAGAAAACTGAGCATCATCACCATACCATATTTTTTTTATTATTAAAATGGTTTGATCATGCGAATTGTTGTAGTTCAATGATTGAAGATTTACACTTCATACAGTATATCACCCGACTTCGCAAGCTCTTTCACTTATTCTTTTATTAAAGATTAGATACTACGTACAATCACCTCTTTGGTGAGTTAGCATTATTTTATAACAGTCGTTCTAAAAGAGGAGGCTACATTAATATCAACAGTGCAGGAGTAAATGTATTCGCCGCTATGGTATAGATTTTTAGATATACGACTATCGCGCTCGGTGAATAGCGTGGTTTTGACAGTAGCTAGATTAGAACCGGATGCCGTTTGGTTACCAGGGTGACATTTTCAGGTTTACTACAATAAGATGAATTAGTTGCTCGGAATTATGACTTCGTCTGTTTTACAACTTGTTGGGTTGTGACAAAAGCTAAACGCCAAGTCACAATTCATGTATGATACTTGACGCGCCGCGATGTAGTGAGTGTTGTGTTTCATAGCCCCGAAGAAATGACTTCTATATCAGGAAATTAGCCCGGATATATGCAGTGTATACCGTTCAAAAGTACATTTTTATATAAATGAAGTTAGAAATGGTACTAAGTTTTCAAGAAATGGATGTTCAAATGTATATTTATATATTATTCTAATACAACTGGGTTGTGCATTTGTACGTGGATGTTTTTTCGCTGAAAATTAATGAGAACCAAACCAGGAAAGGTTTTCGACATCAAGTTGTTTTAAAGGATTAAAAGAAACTTTTTAAAGTCACGTCAGCGATAAAAGAAAAGATTCAGAATAAAGAGAAAAAGTAACTATGAATAGCGCCTATGGGGAAGTGGGCCACCGCTTCCATATAAACAAACTTTGTAATCTAAGATAAGAGCGTCTGTTCAGTATAAACTAAAACAGCATACACATGTAAACAATTGTATACACAGACAGGCCGTGGGCTAACTTAAATCATAAAAGAGAAAGTGTTTCTTCAGATATTAACAATGAACGTGCTAACGGAAATTAATGGTAATACGCTGGCTTTAATCAGTATGGCGATATTAGGTAAGTCTTTTGTTACTGATGGTTGAATCGGGCTACGGCCTCCGATTTAAACATCCCGTGTTTCAAGTCCACATGGGCAAAACAGATCTGGATTTGTCACGCCCGATTTCCCGTGTACATATTGGAATTAGATGCTGCACAGTTAAGTTCATTAAATAAAACTAGATGTAATTATTTGTTAATCTCGAAATTGCTTAGTAACGTGTCAACAATACATCAAACGTTAGATCAACATCTGCGAGATAAAAACAGCAGGACCTCCCGTGTACAGTTAACTTCATTAAATAAAACTACATGAATTGTTTGTTAATCTCGAAATTGCTTAGTAACGTGTCAACAATACATCAAAGGGGTAAGCAAATTTAGATGAAAGATCGGACATGAAGACGATTATGTCGTAGTACGTTGGTGTTTTAACGTCCGCTTCAACTGGAGTGATATCGCAGACAAAAAGACGATTACACTTCATTCGATTTCACTGTAGACAATACCGCCTGACTGCTGTTCAAGTCAGCCAAATTTGGGATTTGTATAAACCCCGCAATCCATAAACTATCTGTGGACAAGACGGTATAAGCAATGAATATTTTCTGTTTTGACTTTGGGTATCTTTACAGAAAATATTATATGGAATCGCTTGATTATAGAATTTAACGCAAAAAAATATATTTTTCGTAATAATATTTTAATAACTTGGATGTACTTGACCATTGGCTTCTGTTAGATAGCTTAAGACATCGTGCGTGCATCGGATGGATGTTACGAATGCGACATTATGCAGAGTCGTCTAAGAATACCCAAAGGGTGCATTAATCGAAGAATTGCACCAAAGATAAGATTTAGAGACGTTTGCTGTCGATTTAGATATTAACAAGGTCGACATTTTGGTTGTAAATGTCTTACTGACAGCAGATTTTTAGAGCTTACTTGGGGAGCATTTGTGTTTTAAACTTGGTCATATGGCATTAAAATAGTATTGTATTCACTTGATGTCCTCAATGAGGGCAATACGTAAGAAATGTGCGAGTTTTTTCTGCACTGAAATTATGACATATCAAAATTGGTTTTAGTACAGCATGACCAATCACATACGTGATATAGGCATTATGTCTGGGGGATTGCTTTTATATACTCCCCATTTACGAAAGGTTAGCTCCACAAAACCGCATCATACTGTATATAATCTACACAATTTCGGTGAAACTTTCCTTCATCTGCACAAACCATTAATGTGTAGATAGTATGTGATTTGAAAACATGTCCAGTGGCTATGTAGAGCTACAATATAGGGTTTGTTATATACGTCTCGAAATAAAATCAAGAACCCTGTCACTTGGACTACTGGAATATAGGATACCGGCATTACATTCTTCTTGAATTTGCTTATTGACAAACAACACAACGTAATGTGGAATTACACAATAAATCTTCAAAACATAATCTATTTCACTGCCTGACACGTCCGCGTTCAACTGTATACGTTCTTTCCACCAAGGGTGACATCGTAGATAAGTGTTTCCTAAGAAACTTGCCAGAGGAAGCCACAAAATGGGCTTGATCCAGCTTATTTGGATAAGACACGGCTTCTTTGTAGGGAAGCGTCCAAGGTATATTTTATCCAAAAGAGAGGCCCCGGGTGCCAGAAAAGAAAGAATAACGAGTGTGCGCAGTTTGGCCCGCTTTGCCATAATGCTACGATCTTAGATGTGGTAGGTAAATTTAGGTTTGACTGTCAACAAGGCACTCGGGCCCGACCTACATGTAGGTTCAGGGATGTGGTAGGTAAATTTAGGTTTGACTGTCAGCCGTTTTACGTATTCTACTCCAACAGTTTCACGTGGACGTATATGTAATCCGATTTTGACGAAACTTCCGATATTGGCTTAAATCCCAAAGAATGTGGTCCCTTTCGATATTGGCAGGCATCGGATCGTTGTATTATTGTCCCTAATATTACGGCAAATAATCCCCCTTTTTTTTTAGCTTATTCTCTTCCAAATATGAGATTATAGAAGTCACAATGTTTATCCGATTTTAATGAAACTTAAAATATACACAGCAAAAACAGTTAAGCACCTCTCAAATCCTCATGATGGCGATAAAATAAGGTGTTACTTGTTGGAAAATGTCTTTCACGAACGCAGCCACATGCACGTAAATCCCACCACACCAAAGTTTCAAACAACCGCAAGCATTGGATATTCAAGGATCGGTATCGACTTCATTATCACTTTTTTGCACTTCTGATTGACAATGGCACGAAGGAGAATTTCCGATGCATTGTGATGACATATCATTGGACTTCATCAGGCATGACTTTCTTACAAGGAAATTACAAGAACCCAGTTTCACCACACCGTAATAAGCCGTCTGGTGAGGAAGCATGCGCAAACAAATGATGTATAGGACCTTCCCCGTTTTGGAAGACCAAAAGCTCCCACGCCCCAGGAGGATAGAGCTCTGTTACGGCCTGTTAGACGCCAGACGTTTGGTTCAAGCACCCTTCTGAAACAGGCCTTGTAACCCCATCGCCGTTTGGGCAACCAGACTCTGAGAAACCACCTTAAAGCTGCTAGATTAAGAGTCATAAGGGTCATCAGGCGTCCACAGCTCACAAATCACCACAAGCGTCAGTGTAGGTTATGGTGTGAGCACAGGCAGAGGTGGAACCTATGATCACGGAGGAGAATACACTGGAGCGACGAAGGTCGTTTTCTCCTGCATGCTGTTGATGGGAGATCCCGTGTATGGAGGACTAGGAATATATGTCTTGCCCCCAGGAACATTTTACCAAGAGACTGGATTTGGTGGCTATACAAGGTTCACAAACTTGCCACAAGATCCTTGTTCATGGACGACAATGCACGACCTCATCGTTCATGTGCTGTAAACCAACATCTATTCCATGGCCAGCAATGTCTCCTGATTTGAACCTAATCAAACATGGTTGGGACATCATGGACCGTCGGGTACAACGAAGGAAACCTCCTCCACAAAACCTGAGGGAACCTGGGGGCAGCTCTCCACGAGGAGTGGCAGTGGATACCGATGAAACAATTAAGGAACCTGGTTAGGGGTATGCCAAGAAGAGTGGCTGCAGTTATTCAGACACGTGGTCGCAGCACACGCTACTGATGTTTTGTGATTCCTGGGACATTGATCCACTTTATTTAAGCTGCTTTTACCGGGTGGCACACACCAAGATCTTGAACTAGCAATACTTAAACATCAATGTCTTTTGGATGAAATTCCATTTCAATTTCACCCTGTGTTTTAATGCACTTTTAGTGCTCATACCGTTACAAAACTTCACTTCTTTTAATTAAAATTTGTTTTTGCACAACGGAAATAATATTCGAAGAGAAATAGAAAGACATGGAACTATCTGCCGGCAATTAAACCGATGTGCGGTATGATTTGTTGATAATAAATTTGGGTATTCATACCTATTCAATGATTTTTTTTAACATGCATTGGTTACACCCCTACTTAAGAAACCTTCGATGGATAAGGAAATATTCAAAAACTATCGTCCTGTATCCAATTTACCATTCATTTCAAAGATATTGGAAAAAGCTGCAAACACTCGGTTGAACGATCATTTGATTCGGCACTCACTGTTAGATCATTATTAGTCAGCTTACAGACAAGGCCATTCAACCAAGACAGCTCTTCTCAAGGTCGTGGATGATATCAGACATATTGTCGACAGAGGTAACTGTTGTTCCTTAGTAATGTTGGATCTTTCAGCCGATTTCGACACGATTGATCCATTGGTGCTCCTAAAGAAACTTCACGTAGAGTTTGGCATTACAGACGGTGTCCTTGCATGGTTTGAATCTTACCTTCTCAGTCGTAGTCAGTCGGTACAAATTACAAACACCAACTCAGATTCTCTTAATCTTTCTAATGGAGTTCACCGAGGTTCTGTGCTGGGACCAGTGCTATTTGTACTTTACACAGTGTCGCCAATATACTTAAAAACCACCAGCTTATGTACCACTCTTATGCTGATGATACACCAATTGTTGACAGCTAGAATTCCACAGATCATCAGGATTCATTTAACAGAATCGCATTATGTACAAAAGATATCAAATCATGGATGACCAATAATATGCCCAAACTCAATGATCATAAAACAGAGGTCATGGTTATTGGTACCAAACAACAGCTTTCTAATAAATCAGCATCTACCATCCACATCGCTGACTCTCAAATAAATATTGTTAACTCGGTTAAGGATCTTGGTGTCCATCTTGATTCTGAGTTTAGTATGGAAAACAATGCCAATCAGTTGTGTAAAGTCTGCTACTTCCATCTCCGGTCTATCCGACAAATTCGACATCTTATTACAAAGGATGCTGCGCATACTTTAGTCAGATCATTAGTTTCTTCACGACTTGACTACTGTAACAGTTTACTCTATGGTATAAATGAGAACCTGATAAACAAACTTTAAATTGTGCAAAACACTGCAGCCAGGATCGTCTGCAGATCTGACAGAAACTGTCACATTACACCTGTTTTAAAAGAACTGCACTGGCTACCAATCACCCACAGAACGCATTTCAAACTCCTGTGTATGGCCCATAAATGTTTAAATGGAACAGCCCCCGAATATCTTAGTTCAATGTTATCTGAATATATCCCCAAACGCACCCTAAGGTAAAAAAAATCATCACCTTCTAACAGTAGCAAGTTATAGACTTAAATCCTTTGGGTTTCGACGATTTTCCCACAGTGTGCCAAAACTGTGGAACTCTTTACCCGTAAATCTCAAAACTTCGCAATGTTTGGAAACTTTCAAATCAAAATTAAAATCTCATATGTTTGAATCCTATTATAAAGAGTGAACTATGAAACTGAAGAGCTAAACAAACCTGCGCCATGAGCATATTGTTTGGATTGAATACGCGCAATATAAATATTCATTATTAGTATTATTATTATTATTCAATGGCCTCGGCTGTTAATTTTGGCGAGGCAAATGTAAAATA